AACACAGAGGTGAATGATTTTGAGTTTCAGAAGACATGTCTTAATCTTGTGAAAGAGAAATTAGACCCCTTTGTTTCTCCAAAGCATAGAAATTTCAGTTTCAACTCATATTAAAGAACTTTTTATCAGAGTTGTCCAGCACTGAAACAAGATTTTTAATCATTTAAATATATTTGCTTTTAAAAATCTTTAGAATTTTAAGGCCATGTTTTTACCTTTTATATTTTTTCATTCCCCAAAATGCAAAGTTAAAAAAAAAATTAAAGGCCATTTTGTACTATAATTTTATCATTCTCCAGAGTGAAAGATTTGAGATTAATTTTGTAGTCTGTTTGGTATTCTAAGTTTATTTAAAAAAAATTTAAAAAGCAGCTCATGTTTCCTTTTTCTATTAACATTTCCTAAATGAACTCACATGTAATTAATGAATTATTATCATATATGATGATCATTTTCCCTCATTGAGCATTGGAATATGTTCATTTTAGAGCTTATCAGTAGCTCAGTCTTGATTCTCTAGTTGAAGTAGTTATGTCAGCCTTTGCATCTGGTTCAAGGTCTTGGGTCCTTTTTCCATAGGAAAAATCTTTTTGTGATAAAAATATACGTAAGATTTATTATTGTAATCATTTTTAAGTGTACAGTTCAATGGCATTAGGTATATTTATGATGTGTAAACATTGCCACTGTCTTTTTCCAGAGCTTTTTCATCATCCCAAAGGGAAATGCTTTACCCATTGAGCAATAACCTTCCCACTCCATCACCGCAGCCTCTGGTACCTCTATTCTACTTCCTGTCTCTATGAATTTGCCTATCTAGGTACCTCACATAAGTGAAATTGTATAATATTTGTTCTTTGTTAGCATTTGCATAGTGTTTTTCACTTAATATAGTGTTTCGCAAAGTTCATCCATCTTGTATCATTTGTCAGAACTTCATTCCTTTTTATGGCTGAATAGTATTCCATTGTATGTATATAGCACATTTTGTTTATCCGTACTTCTGTTGATAGACACTTGTTCTGTTTCCATCTTTTGCCTATTGTGTATACTGGTGTAATGAACATCAGAGTACAAGTATCTGTTAGAATTCCTTTAGGTATATACCAAGAGTAGAATTGCTGCAGCATATGTTTAACTTTGTAAGGAACTACCAAAGTGTTTTCCACAGTGGCTTAACCATTTTGCATTCCCACCAGCAGTACAGAGAGGTTCCATTTTCTCCAAATCCTCAGCAACTTTTGTTCTTTCTTTATTTATTGGATAATAGCTGTTCTAATGAGTTTGAAGTGGTATCTCATTGTGATTTTGATTTGCATTTTCCTAATGATTTGTGATGTTAGCATCTTTTGCAATCTAGATATGCTGAGAATTTTCCAAATCATCAAGTGCTGATTTCTTTTTGCTTAACTTCCTCAGTTTATCTCCTTTTATCCTTTTTCATTCCTCAATTTATCTCCTTTCTCTCACATTTTACCATAATTAGCAAGGAGAAACCAGTACATGCCTTCAACATTTTGCTTGGAAATCTCAACTAAACATTCAGGCTCATCACGTACAAGTTCTACTTTTCACCCAACATTAGAACACATGTCAGTTTTGCTACATTGTAACAAAGACTGCCTTCCCTGTAGTGTTCAGTAACATCTCTCATTCCCTTCTTGAGACTTCACCAGAAGTCCAGTTAATATTCATATTTCTGTAACATTCTGTTCCTGACAAATAAGTGTATTCTCTAAGATGATACAAGTGTTCTCAGCCATCCTGTTCACTTCCTTCTGAGCATTCACCAGAATCTCCTTAACGTCTCTTATTTTTATTGGGTTGGCCAAAAAGTTTGTCCGGGTTTTTATGTACCGTTTTATGGAAAAGCCTGAACGAACTTTTTGGTCAATTCAATAGTCTCTTCAAAGCAATCTTCAAGGCAATCTACCAGTAGTCTCTTCAGTCTTCTTATTATTTTTCTTAAATTTTTTGTTATCTGTTACAGCAACACCCCACTTCCTGGTACCAAAATCTTTTTAATTTCCTAGGAATTCCATAACGAATTACCACAAACTTGGTGGCTTAAAGCAATAGAAATTTACTTCGTTACAGTTTCCAGGGCCAGAAGTCCAAAATTATGGTGTCATCAGAGCTATGTTTGTTCCTACAGCTCTAGAGGAGGATCCTTCCCTGCCTCCTCCAGCTTCTGGTGGCTCCTGTCTTTCCTTGGCTGTGGCAACATAACTTCAATGTCTGCCTTCATTTTCACATTGTCTTTTTCTCTGTGTCTCTGTGTGTCCTTTTCGGTCTCTTTGAGGACATTCTTATTGTATTTAGGGCCCACCCTAATCTAATATGATCTCATATTGATCCTTACCTTGATTATATCTGCAAAGATCCAGTATTACAATAAGGTCACATTCTGAGGTTCCAAGTGGACATGAGTTTGGGGGGAAGGGAGGACACTACTCAACCCACTATAGTCTCTTTTTAGGTAATTATATTATACATGTGTTATATAATTATTTATAATTTTTAAAACTCCCAGTTTTGCATAATATTTTGTTGTGAGATTATTTCACCATATACTAATACTGTTAATGTTAATATTCATTTTAGGAAGTGCCAAATAGGGAAATCACTTTTCTTTTTAGACTTTATAATATATATTAGAAGTATGGGGCTCTTTAATGTGTCTTTGCTTTTTGATGAGGATATTGTACACATGGGCATACACACACATGAATAAAAGAAGCAAAGTTCTGTTAACTTAAAAAAGTTTGTTACGGGGCTTCCCTGGTGGCGCAGTGCTTGAGAGTCCGCCTGCCGATGCAGGAGACGCGGGTTCGTGCCCCGTTTTGGGAAGATCCCACATGCCGCGGAGCGGCTGGGCCCGTGAGCCATGGCCACTGAGCCTGCGCGTCCGGAGCCTGTGCTCCGCAAATGGGAGAGGCCACGACAGTGAGAGGCCCGCATAACGCAAGAAAAAAAAAAAAAAAAAAAAAAAAAAAAGTTTGTTACTCAGTATTTATTCACACCATATAGTGAGATCCTAAATCACCTCTCAAATTGAATGGAAGGAGTATGTGATTAGATTTCCTTGAGATTTGGGGTGTTTTAAGACTGACTCCAGGGACTTCCCTGGTGGTCCAGTGGTAAAGAATCCGCCTTTACAATGCAGGGGACGTGGGTTCGAACTCTGGTCAGGGAACTAAGATCCCACATGCAGCCAGGCAACTAAGCCCATGCACCACAACTACTGAGCTAACATGCCTCAACTAGAGAGCCTGTGTGCCACAAACTACAGAGCCCACATGCTCTGGAGCCCACGCACCACAACCAGAGAGAGAAAACCCACATGCCACAACTAGAGAGAGAAAACCCGCACGTCACAACTAGAGAGAAGCCCATGCGCCGCAATGAAAGATCCCGCATGCCTCAACAAAGATCCTGCGTGCCGCAACTAAAGACTTGACACAGCTAAAAATAAATAAATAATAAATAAATGTTTAAAAAAAAAAAAGACTGGCTCCAAAATGTTTAGTGCGTTCTTCAAATATTTCAGTAACTCAGAGGAAAAAATATTTTTATGAGTAGCAGCAATATAATTTAAGTATATTTAGTTGAGTGTTCTAAACAGGTGGGATTATTAAGATCAAGCACAGTGCCTGTAAGTGGATGAAAGAGTATATTTAAGCACATTGTTGTTACAGAAAAAAGAAAAAATCAACGCTCACTTTTAAGGGTCCTAAGAGAAAAGGGAAGAAAGATGTTAGGGTCATAAAGAGAGGAGATTAAATAAAACAAAAATTGGGGTTGAAACAGAAATGCATTGTAAAGGAGAGGGAAGGTAGATTGGCAAAAATGAGGAAGTATCAGAAAAAAGTGAAATGTACAAAAGCAAAGGCAAGAAATAGGATGGGGAGGACTTTAAGGAGAGCAAAAAATAAGAAATAATGCTATGACTAGCTTAGCGTTAAAGGGTAAAAGATGAATATATCAGAATTTCTTTCAAATTAAGTCAAATTAATGATGATTATTAGAGAGTAACTGTAGTCTTGATATCATACACTCAAGTCAAGCTTCTCATGTCATTTTCCCTGTAGAAAATAGTAGGAACCATTTTATGTATTATTCATTAAATTGCAAGTAAATATATTATTTATGATATATTGACATGTCATATTATATATTACACAAACTTTTATTATATATATTTACTATTTATATTATATACATTTCAAGGTAAATATTCATATGTTATCTTCTTTTAATGGCAAAAATTTCGTTTTTGGTGTAAACAATGAAACTTTGCATGTAAACACATATAAAGCAAACTATTTAATGTTTCAGGTAACAGTGGTGATACATCATTTCCTCAGTCATAAGAACTGACATGGAGTTATTATTGTTGAATATGAGGCAGGTTTTGACATCCAGGAGAATATCAAACATAATATGTTTTGCCTTTGACATATTATGACTGGTCACGGAGTTTTTCTACAATATCAGGTGCATTCCTCATATTCAGTAAATATCACACTAATCAGGCTTAACATACCAGCATTACAAACTACTTCTCTGCTGCCTTTGTATTCTTAAAACTAAAACTAACCCTAGATATTCATTCATGCTGACCTGTAGAAATGAATGTTATATCCTCTCTATTACCTGCAAATTGTTTAGAAGGATTTGATATATCAGAACTGTATATGGTTGGCTTATCAACTCCTTTAAGTCCTTGACCACAGTTTTCTCTAGGTTGATTGATGTATTATGTCACCCATTTACTTTCTTCTACTTAAATTCTCTGGTAAATAAAGGACTTTAATATTCTGCTTTTTTAAATCATTTTATCCGAAGTGTCATTGAATATCTGAATTCAGAATCCTATTGATCCAATAAGGAAGATGCACCTTAACAGCTGAGAGACACTTGGTCATATTATATACTAATTCAACTAAATATGGCTGAAAGAAGCCTTTACTTAATATAATTTTGATTTCCTGCTTTAGGAACCCTGAAACCATGGATCACCTATATATGCTTTGAGACATGCTTTAGATGTTTTTTCTGGAAGCCCTGCAACTGCCGTAAAAATTGAATGTATCATTGAAAAGACCTATGGTAAGTGGGTTTTTTTCCTTCTTTTTCTTCTGTCGGTTTCATGTTGTGGTTAAGTCTTATGAATGTTGTAATGCTGCTCCCTGCTGGACATAGTGTATTTTTTTAAAGTTGGCACTTAATCGATGGGCAAATAACTGGTTAGCTGGACCCACTATAGAGGGGAATCCTTGCCTGCATTCACAAAAAAACAACAGTATACAACCAAAGCAGCTCTGTTTTCATAATGGGTGATACCCATTATGTTGATATCTGAAACCTGATGAAAGTGCTGATTGTCTTGTTTCTAAGTTTTATTGTCTGCTTCCTGTTTAGTGGCATCTAAAAGTTGTAACAAACATACATTGAAGGGCGCTTGTAGGTGATGGAACTTTTAGGATTTCCTAAATTATATGTGTGTGTATATGTTTGTAATTTGTCTGATTATTATTATTATTATCTCGTTTGTAATCATTTAAATTCCCTTTATGTTTTTCCAAAGGAACTATTTAAAACATCTTTAGTATAATTTAAATTAGACACTGTTGGATCTATTTTGAGTGAGTTACCCTACATTACATTTTATACAGTGGACTTTAAGTGTAACTTGTTTTGTATATCCATCCTGTAATCTAGCAGTTATGTTTTCTAGTGCACACAGTGAACCATTCTTACACAGAGTGACATTGGATTGGATCTCAAGTGTCATATTTGTGTCCATCCTATTATGAACCCTCATACTGAATGCAAACACAGGTGTTCCTAAAATTGTTTTAAAATGTGTGAGAGTTAAAAGTTTTTCTTCCTACTTTTGAGCTAAATTATTATATATTTTTTGGAGTGCAGCCTGCATAAAATTAATATCTGGATGTAATATAAATTTATTTTGAAAGTAAGCATACATTTTCTTGAAAAGAAGAAAAAGCAACAGGCACAACATTGAGCTAAGCAAAGATTTAACAAAATAACTGATCTTATACTCTTTAATGACCTGGTACTTTTTTTGTGGCCATTTGGAAAGCCTGTAAAATCTGTTCTTTATTAAGATTCTGGAGAATTAGGCACAGTAACTTATTTCTTTATTATTAAAATATTGCAATAAAAATTAGAAATGTAGACCAAGAAAATAAAATTGTTAGCAAGAAAGAGGAGCCCTTTCTTCCTTCTCTTTCAGAATATATTTTTTCAGAAAGTATATCATTTTAAACATTTTTATTATGAAATATAACACTATATAGAAACATAAAATGAATAAGTATAAAGCAGACATTCAGTAACCATAGATCATTACTGACATACCAGAAGCTCTTGGTATAATCTTCCTTTTCCTTAGAGGTAACCAATGTCCTGATTTTTTTTTTTTTTTTAAACTTTTATTTATTTATTTTGCGGTACGCGGGCCTCTCACTGCTGTGGCCTCTCCCGTTGCGGAGCACAGGCTCCGGACGCGCAGGCCCAGTGGCCATGGCTCACGGGCCCAGCCGCTCTGCGGCATGTGGGATCCTCCCGGACCGGGGCACGAACCCGCGTCCCCTGCATCGGCGGGCGGACTCTCAACCACTGCGCCACCAGGGAAGCCCCCAATGTCCTGATTTTTGTGATAACTATTTAGATAATTCTCTATATAATTTTATCACTTTTATGTGTATTCCTCAGCAGTGTGTTCACTTTTTGCCTCTTTTTAATCTTTATGGACTCATGTGTATTCTTTTTTTGGATAAACTTTTTTGTATTTTTGTTGGAAATTTTTTTGTTATTTTTAAGGGGAAGGGTATGAAGAAATAGAGAGCTTAAGGTAAAGTCAGAGGGCTGACTTGACTGTACTAAAGAGCTTAGGGACAGGAGGAGTTGTAAGGAATTTAGATGTAGCTGCAATCAGAATGGGATCAGGATGCCTGGGGACAAGTTTGTAGCCTTTCAGGGTAAGTGGGAGGCTGGAAGGATCGCTAGGAAAGGACAGCATTCTTGAGGAAAGTGTATAGGCTAGGCATGGAAAGCATTATCCTGATGGGACCTATCACAGTGCTGTCAGAGAATAATGGGTGAAATCAGGTGAGTTATCTAGTCTGCACTGCCTCCAGGTCTCCAAACCTGATGCTGTCATAGTCCTTACAGGGTATCTCTTGGAACGAGTCTGGGGCAGAAGCTCAGAGCCCCTTCTCAGTAGGGATGGAAGGGACCCTGCTGCTGCCACTGTCACTGCTCAGCCTCCTCCACTGCATTGCAAAGGGTGGAGGAAATTCCCAGCCACGTGGCTCAGGCCTTGGCAGCAGCATCATGGAGGTTCAACTGGATGAGCTCCCTGAGTACTTTCTTTGGGCCAAGTACTTGAAAGTCACAACTCATGGAGTAGATCCTGTAGAGTGTGGCTTTGATGTTCAGGCCAAAGAGTTCTCAAGGGTTTTGCTTGTATATGTTCAAGGTAATGAGGGCGATGTCCTTGCTGTGCTTGGGCTTCTCCCAGCCTAGGCCATATGATAGCACCTACTCCTGCTGGGGCTCCAACTCTGCTTGAACTCCAGCATCATCAGGCATGTATCCTCTTCCAACAGTTGGAAGAAGTCCTTGCAGTCCACAGAGGTCCCATCCTCATCTATCACCAGTGTTAACCACAGGGTCTCCAGTGCTTTGTCTAGTAGTTCCTGGCAGGTGGCAACTGTGATCACAGACACAGAAAGGTGGCTAGAGTGGTGGAGCTGGGGTCCAGACCCTACAGCCAGTCCTGGAGCTCATATTGGATCCTGATTGAACTTGGAGACTGCGACCACCTTTGTACTTCCTTTTGGGTTGGTGCTAGATTGCTGCAGTGTGACTCTGCTGCAGCTGTGGGGTGCCCCTGTGGGGTAGCATGGGACACAGATGGGCCTACTGGTGAGCCCCATTGTCCGGAATCATATGCATTCTTTCTTTCTTTACCCAGCATTATGTTTTGATAATCATCTACATAGTTGCGTGTAGTTTTATTTTATTCATTTTCATTATCATGTGTTATTCCTTTGGAATGAATAGGACAGAATTCATCTATTCTGTTTTTGGTGGATGTTTGGGTTCTTTCTGGTGTTAGGCTATTATAATTAACATTTCCATGAATGTTCTTTTACATATCATATGTTGATTTTTATGTGTCAAGTGGAAAAAGGTCATATATTTTCAGGTTAAAGATAATTGATTATAGTGGTATTTTAAATTAATTTAAATGAGTACATGAGAAAGTTGTTGTATCCTGAGAGTGACACATATTAAATGTTGGAAAAGATTCTGAAGTGATCATAATTTCTTTACTGTAGGCCTTAAATATATGGTAGAGTGCCATGTAACTTGTGACAGTTTAAAAATAGTATATGTGTAGTAGATATACAGATACAGATATAGGACCTAATGTAGTAACTCTTTGTTTTACTTTATTAGCACTTTGATTCCATTTACTATTATATCATGTTTTCTATAACTTCTTCACTTTACTGATGAAGAAAATAAGGAGAGCTAAAGAGATTGAGTGAATTGCACAAGGTTATTTAGCAGGTTGGAGCTAGAAACCAGACCAAACTGTCTACTTAGTGGCAGTCACAATTTAAAGAAAACAAAGTGAAAAGTGAAACCAGGATATATTCTTGAGTGTGTCCAGCCATTGAAGTGGAGAATTTGCATGACTAGCTTTCAGAAATTATCAGGTATTCTTTTGACTCTTAACCAAGAAGTGGCCTTGCACAGAGAATTGTATGTTTAAAGGCCCCCAAAATGTTACTGCACTTTATTACAATTCATCTTCTGAAAGGCAACTGTGGTATATTCTAACTTTGAGAATTTTACTTAGAGTAATTCCTCATTCATTGGCCTGTTATTAACAAGTGGTGTACTATTTTCTCATCTGTTAATTTTGTGAATAATTGAATCTTATCCTTTTGTGTGCCAAAATTTATTTCATATGAATATTTTTTTATAAAATGTTTTTGAAATATAAAATGTACCCTTCTGTCTTCTTAAACAGAACAAATTGAGTATAATGTAAGTTGTTTTTTTTGATGGCTCAGAGTTGTTATTGTGAACATTAGTCATTTCACAGAATTTATGTGATTTCCTCAGAGACCGTTATGCTGTCTAGGACTGTTTTCCTAAATTGTCTTAGACTGATAACTTTTATGTCCTGGGTGCTGCTTACGATGTGGTATTTTTTGTTGTTGTTTTGTTGTGTTTTACCTTTGTTAGGTAATTCTTGTTTTTTGCTCTCAGTGCATTATATTAACTCTAATGTAAAAATCAGCATTTACCTAACATATTCATTGGTTAGGTGAGAGCTTAAGTATGGTCTGCCCCATCTACTGATTAAGGGCATAGAAAGTAAATTTAAAATTTACTTTGGGGTCAGCAACTTGTCTTACTGCTTTGTTCCAAGAGACTGAGATTATCTCACAACTGATTTCTGGATGATTGAAATGCAGCCTAGATTTTCATGTATCAATACTATGGTATCCTTATTTGGGGAATAAAAATTATCATGTACATATTTTCTTATAAAACAGTGATATTGAAACTGGATTTACTTAAGGATTCCTTAAATAGGAAGTCCAGTGAACTTAAGTGGTTGTTTTTAATGATAAAATATTTGACACGATGGGCTTTGAAATAAAAACAATGTATTAGGTAACATTGCCTATTGAAAATGTCAGTCATAAAGATTAAACTACCTTTGAAATGATAGCTTTGTAAAGGAAATTATAGAAGTAACATAGATTTGGTTTTCAGAAAACATTTAAGTGCTTCAGGAAAACATTCATTTAAAAGTGAAATGCATTTGACTGCTTTCCCAATTATAAAGTACTGAATGTGAATTTAAAGGAAAAAAATTGGGGTGGGGGTGTATATTTGTTTTTAAATGAAAGGAGATCTCGGGAAGAGAGATAGACAGTTGCTATCCCAGCACATTAGGCATCAATATGATGATTTCCTACATCAGCGATATTTTTCCAACTTGAAAACTAAGTCAGCAATTTTACATATTCGTTTGGGGACAGATAAACAAAGAA